TAAGGTTGATGTTTCCTAATGATTAAGTATGAACAAATTGCTATTAACGGCATATTTTAAAATCAGGGATTCTAAATTTAACTCTACTTATTGTTATAAAAGAATATGTATATAAAAAAAAGTGTTGATATATGCTTTCATTTTTCTTAATAATTAAAGTTAAAACTGAACATTTTAAAATAAAGCATAGTGTCATTTTCGCCAACTAGTAAAACATTTTTATAAGTTTAAAATGGTATTTTTTTTAATATAATGGCCAAGAAAATTTTTTTGAGCTATGTTTATGAACGGAAATAATGTGTTAATGACGTAAAGTTTGAAAGCTAATAACCAGAAAAAGTCTAACTTATTTTTACAAAGAGAAAGATGCAAAGTTATCATAATATCTATGCTTGCGATCTCCGAGATCTGTGGACACAGTGACGTCATGAGGAGGGAAATCGTAGCTTCAGCTCTAAGAGCGGAGTGAACTAGCCCTTCTATTTATTCTCTTTAGCCCTGCTATTAACTATCATTAAAAACTGGTAATAGTTTTCTAATGAAATTTTGCTTCATTAAAACCATTGTATTTCAATTGCGATCATTAAAAAAGTCAATTAATAATTTTTAAAATAGATGAAAATGATAATCATTAAATTTTGTTAAATTATTGAAGTTGATAGGAATCATGTTCAATAAAATAGCGCTGTAAAAATTACATGCAAGGTCAAGGCTGTTGATTGATAAAATTAAATTTTGCGGACTTGTTATAAAAATTTATGTATCTTTAATTTCAGTTTATGTAGTTTTAATTTTAGAAATATTAATTGTTAGCGACTGTATATTTTTAAATTAGCAGAACAATAAATTCATAATTTAAACAGGGAAAAAAGCTTTAAAAAATACAAGATAAGATTTTGCTATAGTTTCTATATAATACAAAAGATAGCAGCACTATCAAATTCATAACCCCCCCACTTCTGCAGCTGCAAAAATGAAATATGATATTTTTCTTTCTTAACAATTCTAACGATAACAATACTTCTAAGAGTTTTAATTATCCTTATCACAGTTATTTTAAAATACAGTTTGTAATTGTAAAAAAAAATTATTTGTTTTTTCAAGGAAAGAAAAAGTTTCTAAAAATCCGATTTTAACATAATTTTTATGAATTATTCATACTTATAAATTAATCATACTATTTATTTTTTTCATTTATTCTCGCTTTTCGTGAGAGTTATTTTTCAGTGTAAAATGAATGGTTAAATACTAGAGTTTAGCTTAAATAATATGACTGAACTGGTTACCATGACTCATAAATAATTTAAACATATGTAATAGCTGCAGATATGTTTTAAAATTAAACATAGTGCTTTGATTTCTCTTAGTTTTGAAATTTTAGTTAAGTTGTATTAATTATAACGCTAAAATATTAAAAATTTATGTGAAACTATTTAATGTAGCTATAAATATTTAATGCAATGTTAATTATGTAAATCTTGATTCAGATAAACAGTTGACATCTCTTGATCCAATAACACGTATGCTTCATAGCAAAACGAAATGTCATCTGAAGATAAATAATTTTATCGAACATGTTGTGTTATTTGAAAAGTTTAAATTTCGATTAAAAAAAAAACTATATATCTAAATAAAAAAAAAACTATATATCTAAATGACATTTTTTATTTTGTTCAATTCGAAATATGAAATTAGATGGCAGCACTAAGATCATCATGCAGATCATTAAAGTCTGCGCTAAAATTAAATTTTTAAAAGAATTTATTTTTTTCGTCAGAATAAAGTTTTAAGAATAATTTTAATATAATAAAGTTTTCTCCAAACATAAAGCAATTTGTGTGAATGCCAGTCTATATTGTGCATTGCGCAAAAATAAATAATCATATAAAAATAAATAAATAAATAAGAATAAATGAATTAAAGTAAGTAAATGAATAAAAATAGACGAAATTGTGTAAATAAATAAAATTATGTGAATAAATAAAATAAGTAAATAAATAAACAAAAATTAATAAATGAAAATTAATAAATAAAACAGAAGATAGCAATTCGCTATATTCTCTTAAAATTTTTGCTCGTCATGAATTTTTGAATAGATAATTTTTTTCATAATTTTACAAAACATTTTATTACACAAAAGTTTTATTACACTTAGTTTACATAAAAAGAATAATT